ATGTAAGGAAAGCGCTGGATGATTTGCAAAAAGTTGTGAAGAATTTTGAATCACGAGCTGAATTCACAGAAGAACTGGAGAAGATGAGTGATGTAAGTGAATTATTTTGTTTCATCCCAATTTTGTAATATTTGTAAAATTCTGGAAATTAATGAATACTTAGATCAAGAAAAGGGTATAAGTAATGTAGTCATTCCTGTCTTGCATCTAGCTGCATTTGCTGTTATGCATTATTTTAAAAATAGCTGGGCTGTTAATAAGCATAAACTAGTGCATTTAATAATCCTAACTTTCCATCTTTCTAATTAGGCTGCAGGTGATTTTGTTGACATAAGAGAAAAAATTGAAGACGATACCATTGGAACAAAAGGTAAGTGATCTAATAATAAATGTATGTCTTGAAATAATAGTAAGCAAAATATTCCTTTTCTAGGATTAACATTCCTTATGTGGGATTGACCAGATTATTTCATTGCACTGTATCTTTTACATTTAAAAAATTGCTTTCTTCAAATTAAAATTTGGCAATCTGAAGGTAAGACGGTTTTTGTCCCTCAGTTTCACTGTGGAATTCTGTGGTAGCCATCAGCTGGGCATACTGTAGGGATTTTATTTGTTTCAAGAGTCTGCATTGGGAGTTTGAAGTTTTCTAGAAGAGAGGCAGAAAATACAGTGGGCTGGCTCCTGGGGAGGGAACCAGGGAAGACATTTTTTGCATCCAAGTGTGAATTTTGCAACAGAAGGCAGGCTAGAAAATTGCAGGCTCTGCCTGTTACGGGGAAAGGATGCAAGCAATGTCAGGAGGAAGGGGAAGAGGCACAGACAGGGATGAGACATACATGGACAATGTAAATGTTGGCATCCACTGGGGTGTTCCACTACTGTCGGTGAAACAAAGGTGAAAACAATCTCAGCCAATGTACTGAAGCAGATACTTCCTGAAGTTTTCTGAAGAGGATGCTGGGAAACAAAGATAGCTGGGCTGAGGGATTGGATAATTTCTGTGCCATCTGAAGTGGTGCTTGATAGATAAGACTCAGGCAAAGTTGGAGGAAGAAGTAATTTTGCAATCTGAAAATAGCATCACTTGGACATTTTGAGAAGGAGTAGTACTACGTGATTTGCAAAAGCCTAAGCTGGGCAGTTCAACATTCCATTTCTCTGGAATAAATCACAATATTCTTTCTGTGCCAAGGCTGACTAAGGGGTGACATGTTTTTTTCTGGGATAGAGTTAATTTGCAAAGGCCTAAGCTGGGCAGTTCAACATTCCATTTTTCTGGAATAAATAACAATATTCTTTATATGCCAAGGCTGACTAAGGGATGTCGTGGTTTTGCCTGGGATAGAGTTAATTTGCTTCCTGGTAGCTGGTGCAGTGCTGTGTTTTGCCTTTAGTCTGAGAACAAGTGCTGATAACACCCCAGTGTTGTAGTTGTTTTAAGTAGCGCTTACCCTTATCAAGGACTTTTCAGTCTCATGCTCTGCCAGTGAGGAGGGGCACAAGAAGCCGGGAGGGAGCAGAGACAGGACACCTGACCCAAACTGACCAAAAGGTCCTTCCATACCACAGAGCATTATGCTCAGTACAGAAACCTGGGGGGAGTTGGCCAGGAGCCCCTGATTGTTGCTTGGAGATGGGCAATGAGCAATTGTATTGTGTATCACTTGTCTTTTTTTGGCTTTTATTTTTATCTGTATATATTTCCTTGTATTATTACTATTACTGTTACTCTTATTGTATTTTACTTGAGTTATTCAACTGTTCTTATCTCAACCCATGGGTTTTACCTTCTGATTCTCATCCTACTGAAGGCAGGGGAGAGTGAGCAAGTGGATGGTACTTAATTGCTGGCTGGGCTTAAACCACCACAGGGCTTATCTCTGTTCTGGGTAGATGTCATTGCAAAATAGGAGGAGTAACATTCTGGGAAATGCATTGCACTGTAGCAGTGTTAGTAGCAGCATACTGTGGATGCCAGGTCATCCTTTGTGCAGCCTCAGTCTCCTGAACTTTTGTCATCATCATGGTCTTCTGAAATCATCCTAACTTTTGCTGGTAATCTTTAAATGGGAATTAGTACATTCTGTATCAGCACCAATTTCTAATGAGACTGAAAGAGAAGTAACTAAAAGAACAACTTGGTGGTTATTTTGAGGCAGCCTGGGCTTCAGCAGACTGGGAGTTGGTTTTGTTCATGTGGAAATGGGCTGTATCTCTGAGTAAGACAAAGACAAGTATCCTGAGCATCTCATTAGTTAATTAGTGATTTTCCATTTTGTATTTTAATATCTCACTTTTTTTGTTTGTTAGTGTGTGAAGTTAGTGGTTGTGCCTTGTAGTGATGGTGACTGAGCACAGTGGATATTGAAACAGCAAGTGGTCATCCTCTGTTGTCTTTGAGATCTGACCTGGTTTCCTAATGGACAGGTTTCTTAGAATGAGGGAGAACCACTGGCACATTCACGCACTAGCTGGTGTTCAGGAAGCCACATGCTTACCTTGGTAGTCAAGTCAGTGATTAACACTGAAGTGTAACAGAAAGAAATTGGGAGGGCATAATCTGAAAATCAAATTGAAATAGATTGTTAACTAATCCTCCCAAATTTTATTTATTAATTTTGTAATTATACCAAATGAAATTCTCCCAAGCTACTCTGATTGCTTAGCTTACCTCAATTTATATTCAAATCTCAATAAAGTACTTTTCAGTCTTTTCTTAATGAGATGATGAAAAATGCTATCCCGTGGAAGAGTAGGGGATACACATTCCAACATCACTTACAGTCACCTGTTTGCTTTTTAATGTTGCTATTGAATTTGTATTTAACTCAGGATTAAAGTGTAAGCTGATGTATTTGAATAAGGATATCTTTAAGCCACTAGTCCTTAAAATTAAAAAAATGGCCACACAATTAGTTAAGAGAGAGATTCTAAAACTTGAAGGGTGCTGAATAACGAGGACACTGTATTACTGTTGATTAGATGCACAAAGAATTTCATAAACCCCACAAGAGATATTGGAGTCCTGTTGTACAGACAAAACGTCGGGTGTATTTGTGGGAGGAATGGAAGGGGAAGGGTCCTTCCTCCTGCAGAGAGGTGCGGATGCTGTTTGGGGGTGCTGATGGGCAGAGTGGAAATGTCCCTTGGGAAGCTGCCTGGGACTGTGTAGGTGCAGGCAATGCCCAAGGAGCTGCTGGTCTCTGGGAGAAGGGGGATTGAAGGAGCAGTCTTGCCCTTCACACAGACAGGGCTAAAGCATTAGTATTGTTGACGGGCGGTTTGTTCCCTATGTGCTAGACAGCACTCAAATGGTAAAAAGTATTCCCCATCCTCAGTGAATGCACCATTTTACTGGGTAGCAAAGCTTTTAAATGACAGCAAGAACTTGTTGGTGGCTAGCATTTACTCACAAGTGTTTATCTTGGGTCACCTCTGAAGCTTTAAAGGGATTTATGTTTATAATTTCTGAAAGGCAGGTTTTTCTATGCTTTTCAGAGTAGATCTTTTTCCCTAAAGTAAGTGATACATAATGGCTGGATTTTGGTCAGATTTTCCAGAGGACTCTGGGGATCATTTTTAATGATCTTCATTCTAAATTTAAAAAAATATAACCAAAACCTAACTCTTTAAATATAGGTAGCTTTGCCCCAAATGAGCAAAAGTATGAACTAGGTTTGTTTTCCTGGTAAATAAAATGTTGCTGTTAATGGGGCAGTGAGCAAATGTCACATTCACACGCTGGTGTCTATCAGAGGAAATCAAAGTCTACTGTTTTGTACAAGAGGTAAAAAATACCACGATGTAATTAAAGTGTCATAGGATCAGTGTCTCCTGCTTTGTCAATAAACATCTCTGCTTTGCCTCGGTATGTCTGTAACATCCGGAGACTATTAGACTATTATCCTGTGCTTGGTGCTCTGGGTCATTGACAGTTTCACTTAAACAGTTAAACAGTAATTTGAAATGGAAAATGTTCTGCTTGTATCCCTTAATTCTTTCGTGTTTCTTTCCCACCACCCAGGTTTTGGGATTGTGGGTTTTGAGGTTTTTTTGTAAGTTGCTTTAGTAATTACATCTTATTTTTCATTACACAGGAAGGTACCGAACTGCTCACAAACCTCACTCAAAGCCAAAAGTATCAGATGTTTTTGAGGTGGATTTTCCAGTGAATGGAAATCATACAAAATCCATGGGCCGTTTTCAGTCAGAAGAGGAACTGTGGGCTCGCTTGGAAGAGCTGGAGAGACAAGAAATGCTACTTGGTGAACTCGATAGGTACAGTGCTGCAGTATCACTGTCAGGTTTGGAGCTCAGAAAGTTACAGGCATGTGATTCTGTTTGTACGCAAAGGATCTTGCCATGAGTGTAGATAACTGATAGGCTATTGATTAAATGCAGTTAAAAGTATAATAAGTGGAAGAAGGGTGGAACATGAACAAAGCACATGCTGCAAGGCCAAAGATTCTGAAACCTGCCTCTGATATGCAGTCACAGCAATCCAGCAGTATAGTATATTTTTCCTTAGGATTATAAAAGAGGGGGAAGTAAAATCCATTTCCCACAGGCTAGAAGAAAATCCTGCATTTACAATGTAGGAGCTGACACATTTAGCCTTTAATGACATCCTAAGATCTGTTCTCATCCTACAGCAATACATATAACCAGAATATCATGATTTTGGTATTTCCAGTTGACATGGGAAGGACGTAGTCATTTTTACAGTTGCCCAGTCTGGCTAAAAATACATTACCTGGCTAAAGAAAATCACGTACAGGCTTGTTCATGATTTTGTATGCCTGTGTCTCTCAAGAGTATGAATTGCCTCAGTTCACTTGGATATTTTTCATTCCATAGGATGCCTGATACAGTTGAGACAAATGGAGAAGATGAAGGCTTATCTGAAGAGGAGAAAGAAGATAAGAGGACAGATCTGAACGGGACTTACAGAGCAGAAGACTGTGTTACTCAGGGCAATTTCCACAAAGAAGTAACAAATTCAGACTTGTTTGGTGGTCACCTTAATGGCTCTACTTATTATCGTAGTGATGATGAAGATGATACAGATGTTGGAGATAACTCTGTTCCAACTATTTTTTTCTCTCACACTGTTGAACCTAAAAGGGTTTGTAATTTATGTATATTTTTTATCTTTCTCTCAGAAAAATCACATAAAACATACATACCATATCTAAGACAGAAAATTGCAGATAATGTGGAATGGTAACTGTAGGTGACATTTTGGATTTTTTCCTAAATGCTTGAAACCCACTGTTAAGATCCTGCAGTATCAAATATGGTATTAAAAAAATGATCTTCAAAGGTATGCTTGCTGTCCTGGCTTTTGGAAAAGCAGTATCCTGACTTGGAGTTTTTAAATTTTTTTTTTTACTGGACTTTAAATTAATTGTTGAACAACTCAGCTGTTGAGCAGAGTTTGAACAAGCAGATTTTCATATATTATATGCAAAATCTTGCATATTAGTGCAAAGAAATGCCCCAGCCTACTGCAAGTGGTAAAGAATAAACAGTTCACACTATGAATGTTACCATTCATGTGTTTAAGTTATGTACCCTTCATAGTTACCAACTGCTTGGATAGGAGAATGTCAGAAGTCAGTTGATCTGCATGATTGTTGATTTTATGGTCTAGACCATCCTTTGTGTTCAATTTTCAGGTAAGAATAAACACAGGAAAAAATACTACTTTGAAATTCAGTGAAAAAAAAGAAGAGGCCAGGCGTAAACGGAAGAATGGCAGTGGCAATAGCCATGCAACTCCAGAGCTGCCTAACATCAAAACCCCAGCAGACATTTACAGGTGTGTGATTCATAGCATTGGCACGTGAGCTTTCACCTCTGCAGACCACTTTTTGTTTCTGTTCACCTGTATAGTATGAAAAAGACCCTACTATTTCCTGAAAGAAACAGCTGGAACTGAGTTTACTGCTTAAAAGTGAAAGTTTGTGGCATCTGCATGGTTGCTGCACTTTCATATCTGTAAAACATTTTTTAAGCTTAAAGTTTTCTTTTTTAGTTAGCAGTTCATCATTCATCTACTTTTTCAGACCTTCTGAAACCAAGGTAAATTTTTTAGTACCTTTGGGTAAAGAGATACAGGCGTGATGTTACATCTTCTGCTTAATTCCATGTCTTTTGCTTCTGTGTTTGTTTTCAAGCATAACTGACGAGACCTATCCCTTGTAATATACCTTCTTTCCCAGATTTTCAGGTTTTGTCTCTTCGTTTCAGTATCATCCGAATATACTGAGGTCTCTGTTGCCATATTTTCTCTTGCATTTGTTCTTCCTGACTTTAGTCCATCACTGCCTCTATTCTTGTAAAAATAAGTGCTCACCTGTAGAACACCTACAGTCAAGAGAGCCTGAGAAATGCTGTTGGGCTTAGAGGACTCTATAACATACAAAACTAAGATGACAGGAGAGTTAAACCAAGTATTTAGGCTTGTAAAGATATACACAGACACCTATTAAATGGTTTGATTAAGTGCTTGTGAAAATCACACTACGTTTGTACGTCAGTGTATTCAGAAAACTAAATATCTCAAAAAATGTGTCACGAAGTGGGAAAACTTGAATCCTTTTCTGTAATTAGAGCTGCTGGGGCTGAAGATAAGTAGAGGACTCTTCCGTGGTGCTCTCCCAGAGCTCTGCAAAGGAACCCCAATTTCTGTAAAGAGATGCAAGTGTTCCCAGGGGTGCCTGATGAATGAAGCTGTTAAAAAACACCCTTAAAAATCATCCAGTCATTGGGCTTCTCCTTCATGAGTTTGATAAAATTGGCACTGTCTTATAATGCCACTCTTTCTCTTCCACCCACCCTTGACTTCTTTAAGTCATGGAAATGGAGTACAAAGTGTAGGAAGAGGCCTCTTTATCAGTTTACAGTTTGAGAATACTTGAAAAGTGTCGTGTTGATCTGATCTGAAAAGCTTTTTTTTTCTTTTTTTTTTTTTTGACTGAAAGCGGGAGTTTATGGCACTTTTCAGGAACAAGCTTCATCCTTCCCATGTGCAATGAATGTTTCAGTATTTGTTTTTATATTCTACACCTGACGAGGACTTCATTCTAGAAAATCTTCAGTCATTGTGGTTTTCTGTTCCCTGAAACAACCCTGACAATTGTCTAGTTTACTTTTTTTCCTAACTTGGATAAACTGTTCTGTTTCCTAACACATTTCAAAGAGCTATACGTTTTCTGCTGGAAGAGCAGACCAACTTAATGCTTGAATAAAGGACAAAACAGTGTTTGCTCTGCAGAATTGATTCTTGGACACTGGTAAATAAAATGCTTCAGAAGGTACAGCATTGTAATTCTGCAGCAAAAAAGTTGGAAAAACACATCATAATTAATTTGTGCAAAAGACAAAGCAAGATAACTGTAACTTTGTCATCTGACCCTGAAATGGTTTATTAAAGCTAGCATTTTCCTTTTTTCCTTTATAGAGTCTTTGTTGATGTTGTGAATGGAGAATATGTCCCTCGTAAATCAATTTTGAAGTCTCGAAGCAGAGAGAACAGTGTTTGTAGCGATACCAGTGAGAAGAGTGCTGCTGAGTTTGATGACAGACAAGGAGTTCAGAGGAGTATTAGCTATGATGAAGCCACTCAGAGTGACAACAGCGAAGGCATACTTGAGGAGGAGGGGCAGCAGCAGCAACCGGAAAAGCTTCCTCTCTCTTCAGGGACAACCAAGGTACAGTTTTTAATTAATTATCGATCGTTGGCAGGGATAAAAACAAGAAATTTAATGACTGTAGTTGTCTATACCATCAGTTTAATTCCTGTAAAATAATTTTCTAACTCCTACCTAATTTGCTTCATAAGGACATTGTGAGATGACAAGTTCTGTCATAGGCATCCTGGGGGCAGAGGGGAGGAGATGAGTCAGGGGCTTCCAGGACCTGATACTCTTCCATGAGGATTTCACAAAACAGTCCATTGCTGGAGTGACTGAAAGCAGTGTCGTGTCTACTGGATCATCCTGAAAGTATCCCTTAGGATATACAGCAGGGTTAAAAAAAAAAAAAAAAAAATAGAAAGGAAAAAATAGAAAAAGGAAAAAATAGAAATCTGTGCTTCGTAGTTGACAAGAGGGGAGAGTTGATTCTCAGCAATCATGTTGCACAGCTACCTGGCATCTAGTTCCCAGGTGGTGTTTTTAAGTATTAATAGGCACAAGTACCAGCTGAGTTATTTGGACTTGCTAAACACAGAGGAAATGCCCTGTGGAAGGCAGCACTACCCCTCTGCCCATTCTAGGAATTGCGCTGTGGAAGGAAGCACTACACCTCTACTCATCCTATTCCAGAGTAGGGCCATTAGTGATCTCAAACAAATCTATTTTCCCATGTTGGAAAGTTCAGGGCTTCATTGTAAACAAAAGAGTCTGTACAACATAAGGGAAAATGTACAGTTGCTTTAGTGACTGGGTGAGTACAAGAATTAACTGTAGCTGCTACTCTGAAATTCAGGGCAGAATATTTTTCATTTCTGTTATATAAGAACTTGCACTAATTCTTTTCAAACTAGATGAAACAGAGTTTTCAGTAGTTTCCAATGCAGTGAGCAAGGTAAATGTAAACTCTATTTAAAAAAAAAAAAACACCACATTTTCTACAAGAAACAAGTTCTTCATAAAAGCTATTGTTTATCATAATTTTTCATACAAACAGCTACAGATGAATCCAGGCAGGATGTGATTGACGGTGGAAGATCCATCTGTAGAGTTAGCACTTCATGTTCTAGACTTTCTGGAGTATATTTGCTATATTATTATAAAACATCAAAGTACACTCCATCCGTTTTTTGAATATGGCATGATTATTCTCTAACAGTATAATGTGTTAAATAAGGCGAGAGAGAGCAAGCCACTCCAGTCGGACATGCTTTCTTAAACGCTGTGGTTTTGGTTGGTTTTGTGGGCATTTTAAATATGCTTGCAACGCACTAACTTCCTTCCTTTTGCTTCTGATTTTACCATGATTCTCCTTACCTGTTTCTGAAAATGAGCATGTTGTTAGAACAAGGCAGTTGTGTACAGGCACAGCTTTAGGCAGGCTTTGGCTACTGGAGCAGAAAACAAAACCCCACTGCTTTTTGCAGGTCCTGCAAGAAAAGAATGGCTGGTTTGTTTTGCTTTGTTTTCCTTGGTAACTGAGTTATGAAGAAGCAGAACTAAGCATTGTTAATGAATCTGGTGTGCATTCCTTTGTGCCCAGTCTGAGCATCAAAACTTGAATGTAAACTGGTTCCCCTTGTCCTTAGGTATTCTGAATTTTCTGTTTCCAATACGTAGCAGGTTGATTAGTTCTTAAATATGTTTAGAAAAAGTAGTTCTGCGCTGCTTTTTTCCCAGCGTTTTCCAAGAACCATTTCTTAGCTAAGCTAAAAAGGATTAAGTCATAATAGACTGCATATAAATTATAATTTTTAAACATTAAATGTTTTCATTAGACCTTTTATAGAGGCAAGTTGAAAGAAATAGTTGGAGGCAAATTTGCCTTTCTCTTAAATATAAATCGCTTTCACCATTACTTGATCATATTTGGTAAGGAGAAAGAACAAACAAAATATGTGCTTGCCAATTTGTATGCAGTGTGTCAGCTTGATGCAATTAGAAGGTACTAAGTCATAAAATATGACGTGTGATGGAAATGCTGACATGCTCCAACTTTGCAAAGTCTCTGCATTCCTTATCCAAAATGAAGCTATATATTACATCAGTGGTTTTATGTCTTGAGCATGTGTCAGTGAGGAAGCAAATTTTTAGATCACTTATGTGGTAGGAGTGAGATGAAGTAGTACTTTTAAGCCACTGTCTTTCATTTGGCCATCTTTGAACAAGCTATATTTTGAGGTTAATTACAGTTTGGTTACTTATGCAAGGAATGATCATTGATTTAAAGACATTTCTTTACTTTTGATTAAGAGAAATAACAATCCTAATCAGGCTAATACAGGGTAATGACTTTATGGGCATAGCTTCACATTCGCATTTTATTAGCTCATTTTGAGTATTCTCCTCTGTTGTAGGCATTTTCTGGAACTGTTGTAGAAAAGGAGCCTTTGTCTCCCTCTTTAATACCACACCCAGTCGTTGCTCTGCGTGTTCTGCCTACCATTCTGGAGTGGAAATCAGAGGAAGTCTTGTCTGAAGCATCGGAAGAACCTCCAAAGAGGATTTCAAAGTTCAAAGCTGCCAGGATGCAGCAGCCCAGCTAGTTTCTGCCCAGCCAACCAGATATATCTGGGCATATTTGTTGAGACTATGTACAACTGTATGTGTGACACCTTGCTCGTTAAAAGGGTGTCCTCTTGTTAGTTTGGCATTGGTTATCCTTGAAATGTTTATTGGCAAGTTTAAAGAAACAAAGGTTCAGCATTTGAACATGAGTTTTCATCTCAATTGGTGGGTTTCCCTGTGTGCTGTCAGCACTTTTGTGTATGTTTGCCTTATGAGAGCAGCACTTGACTTCTTTTTCAGAAAACTGTTCCTTACATACATTGTTTTTGTGTTTAAGCCTAAATACAGGCAGTTTAGTGCCAGCTGTGATGTTCTACATACCATATGGACCATTTTAAGGAAACTTTTCACATTTCAAGTAGATTCACCAGTTATATTGCATTACTTTCTTTAGCGTTTTAAGACACACTTGTATTCACATTGTTGTAGGTTTTGCAACTAGGTGTCTGCTGAAAGTTTTTTTCCTTCTTTCAAACCTCTGATATTTCACTGTAGAGATCTATAAAACACTGGGTTCATGTACATTGCAGGGAAGTTTCTTTGATGGAAAAGGGTATTTTGTAAAATTAAATTTTCAGTAAAAAAAAGCTGTGAAAGTTGTGTGTTTTTTGTTGCTTTACTACTGATTTGGAAAGAGCACAGGTTTTTGAACTTGCATTTCTAGCTTGAAGTGTTTACTACCACATGGACATAAAAACAGTCCGTTCTCTTCTGCCATTGTGTTTTAACCTCCTGCTAAAGAATGTGCATGGAAATTGAATGCTCTTAAGGAGAGAAGCATAAACTCAGACACTGATTACAAAATCTAGTTCTTTTGTGTACTCAGAAAACATTGTAATTGTCTTGAGAATGCCCAGAGGGAGTTAGCACTAAGGAAAAATGTCTTAATGCTTCAACTCTATTTCAAGAGGCAGCAATGCTGCAGCACTTGGGGTACAGTTTCATGTATCCCTGTGTATCTTTCTCACAGCTGAGAGCAATCCTGGCTTCAGGAGTCTCTGCTCAGCAGCTCCTTCCTTGTCTTCTTGCCATCCCCTCTCATGCTGATACAGCTTTGGTAGGGGCCACTGCTTGAAAGGTAATAAGTAACAGAGCTGGATTCAAAACTCATACTACTGGGTTTGCTTTTTTCAGTAGTTGTGTGTGGGTTTTTTTTGAAGTCGGTGAATTTCCTACTCTCTTTGTCAGCATGTCTCTATCAGCACAGTTAGAGGGGTAATGTGTTGAGCAAGGAAAGTAAGGGGAAACATTGGCAGAGAGGGAATGGGGAGCTGGAGTACTCTAAACTGATGTTACTTTCCAGCTGACATCATTAAATCTCAGCCTAAGACGTGAAGCAAAAAGGCTTGGGAGGTGTAAGGAAGGGTTTGCTGTTGGCTGTGATTCTGTGGCTTTATGAAGGGGCAGCCTCAGACCCACCGTCATCTTGTTCTCCAAACCTTGGCTGTCCATGAGCGAGGCATCTCCTGCTGTTTTCTTATCTTCCCCTAAAATAACTGCACCTTTGCTCCCAAATCATAGAATAGTTTGACTTGGAAGTACCCTCAAAGGTCATCTAGTCCAACCCCCTTGCAATGAGCAGGGACAGCTTCAGCTAGATTAGATTGCTCAGAGCCACATCCAGCCTGGCCTTGAACACCTCCTCACGGCTCATAGGATATTAACACAGCATCATCAGTTCCCCCATTTTCATCCCTTTTTGTCTCTTTGTGCTTACAAGGGAGGTGGACGCATTGGGACTGAAGATGCCCTTTATGAAAGGCCATCTCAATCTAACTCTGATGCTCTGCTGCGTGGCAGAAGGTGCTGGGCAGCGCGAGGGTAAGAAGGGGCTGGCAGCTGGGTCCCTGCAAGGGCAGCAGCCCCCAGGTCTGCGGAGCTGCGTCCTCCCATGGGACGAAGCAAACCATGGCTTGCTGAAAGACCTGCAGGAGAAGTAGTGTACCCCTCCTGTGGCCAGAGCTCACATGGGAGGGGGCAGCCTCCCTTGTAAGCAGATCCTGAGGATCACATTGAAAGTGTTAATGATTAACTTGATTCATGCTCAAATGTGGATTCTTTTTTTTTAAAGCATATTGCATTAGTACTAAAATAAGCCATCAATGCCAGTCCACCCTCTATTCATGGCTAAATATTTAAAGGAGGTTATTTATAGCTTCTTTAATGAATTCTTGGCTAAACAAAATGAAATTATGTCCTAGAAAAGTAGAAGCTATTTTGTAACCAGAACAGTGCAACTGTAAAATATAGTTCTATGAATATGTATTTTAAATAACAAGGGGTTGAGATCCAAGACTACCAGACATGGGTAATTAGAGGGAAAAGGAGAGAGGGGAAAAAAAAAAAACCCAACCCTTTAAAAAGATTTATTTAGATATCTTCTGAAATACTTCCCACTTCTAGTTACTTCAACAAAACCAAATGCCCCTTGTCACCATACATCAGTTTCAAATCAAAATTAATTCTTTGTTTTCTTCTCCCCCTCAGCTCCCTTTCTTTTCACATCCTTGCTCACGGGAAAAAGTAGGATAAATGCACCTTGGGTTTTAATGAATTATGGCCTCGGTTCAGGGAAGCATCCTTACTCAGGAATGCACTTTGGCATGTGCTTATGTCGCAAAGATTTTGCAAAGAAGAATGGATTTAACCACATGCTTAAAACTAAGCACATGAGTGTTTTCCCTAATAGGGAGCTTGAATGTGTCTGTGCCCTTTCTGCAGTATATTTACTTGTCAGAGGGTTTGCAGCCCGGAATGATGTTTCATCTTCAGGCTCTTCATTGGGCTTTACTACTAGATTCGCAGTGCAGTGCCTGGAGCAAGAACAGACGGCTGCAGGGTTCTTACAGAATGTTTGCAAATGCTGAACTAAAACTAAATCTACCAAAGTAGATAAAAGTCTAAAGAGTAAAAAAAAGGTCATGTGAAGGCCTGTCTCAGTAAGGACTGAAAACTTGCTTTTTATGCAACACTGAATCCAACAAGTGGATGCAGGTGACCACCAACATATGGATGAAGCAAACACCAGGATGAAGCAATGGTGTCCCAGATTTGAGGCACGTAGGATTCCTGGTGGTAAATTAGTCTGCTGATATGAGCATCTTTTCCCCCCAGTACTGCAGTTAGAGGTTGTATTCGCTTCAGTAGTAACAAAAGCACAGTTTATCCTATTTCTGAAACACCCTTGATGGCTTTGCCTGCTGCCACAAGAGCTCCTTGTGTGCCAGGCAGCACCACCGAGGAAGATTAGGTTCTTCCTGGTGTATCCTGAGAGGTTTTGTGTGTCCTCAGCAGGAAGGACATGGCCCATTGCTGCACAAGATGTCATTGGTCCAAGCTGAGCGTGGTGGCAGCAGCCTGTGTGGGCATTGCTTGGCCACAGGGACAAGTCAGTGTGTCCCAGCCATGCCATGCTGTGCCCAGCAGCCACCCCACACAGCCATTTGCAGGGCCATCACTGCATCAATTAGGCACAGCAGATTACCTGCTCCCTTTCTGTTCCTTACTGGGAGGCAAATTTGACTCTTCAATCTTCTTTAATTGTACACAAGTCAGTTGGGCAGCTGCCTGCACCCAGAGAATGGGTTGGTTTACCCCAGAGCTGTGGGTCTGGCCTGGAGAAGCTGAAGAAACTGGTGATGGCCATTGCTGTTGCATGTTCCCATAGCTGGGTCTGTGCTGGCAGCTGCCAGGCTGGCCTGAGCCAGTGGAGCCCATGACGTGCTCTCAGAGGTAAACTGGATTTATTTCCTTCTCTTTCCTGTAAGACTAGTTGCACTTAGCACTTTTCATTGCTCACTTAGAGCATCTAAAGCAGCAGATTTTTGTGTTCCAAGAGTGTCTAAACCAGCTGTTTTAGCTGTTCATTTTAACAAAGTGATTTATGTTGCAAAAAATGAGCTGGGATTAAAAGAAATCAGATGTGTGTATTTGGTATGCAATATTTTTGTATTACAAATAGCTCCATTCTAACCCACATTAACCCCATGATATGTGAATTTTGCCAACTCCTGCTGTGTCTTTTAAATCAAATCCAGTAAATCACTCCTAGTGTTCTAATTTCTAAACAAACTAGTCCGCCAGCAGAAGTCCTTCAACGCTGTGCGGCGGATGAGGCAACCTGTGATTCTTTGCTGCAGTTCTTCACTGTGGTTCTTCACCATGGTTCTTCACCATGAGGGTGGTGAGACACTGGCACAGGGTGCCCAAAGAGGTGGTACATGCGCCATCCCTGGCAGTGTTCAAGGCCAGGTTGGACGGGGCTTGGAGCAACCTGGTCTAGTGGAAGGTGTCCCTGCCTATGGTAAGGGGTTGGAACTGGATGAGCTTTAAGGTGCCCTCCAACTCAAACCATTCCATGATGCAATGACACGAGGTGCATGATACGCTGCTGCTGTGACACGGTGCATGTGTTGTGTGACGTGAGCCCACCCGGGGGTTGTGTGGGGGAGATGTGGGGCTGTGGAAGGCTGTGGGGTGTGCAGGGGTGCTGCAGTTCCTGGTGCACACCGGTAGGTCGCAGCGCCGAGCAGAAGCAACAGCAGAAAGCTGCCAGTCAGCGCCGATAATTTATTATTCATTTCTGTTATAGGTGGGGTGTGCAGACAGTTACAGTAATAATTACCAAGACTGGAGGGTTTCCTAGGCAACGAGGCTTTTTTTTTTTTTTTTTTCCCTTCATTCATGCTGTTGCAGAGAGTGTGCCTGTAAAGCATGACATTGCTGTATTCGGAGGTTTGTTGCCCTCCTGCTGCTCCAGGTTTGAGGTTAGTTACAGCATCATAAGGTGCTCTCAAGCATAAAAAGCTCAGGCTGGGATTAAAGCATGCAGGGAACGCCGCCACTAAGTCCTTCCCTCTACTGTTTCACTTTTAAGTAACAAGGTTATAAAAATGCAAATGCCATCTTGGGGTTGTTAATAACTGATATTGGGGAGAATTCCTGCAAGTTGTAAAGCATTACTGTTTTTTTTTTCTTTTTGGTGAACAAAACCCAGCCCAGGTGAGGTGACTCCTTGTGTTTTATGATGCTCTTGTGGAAATACCGTTTGCAGAAAAGGGGCTTGCAGCCTGCTCCAACCTTGCAGTGTTTAGCGTCATAAATCAATGGGAACCGCTCCATGCAGCTAATGATAAGGTGGTATTTGTTGTTTATCCCGCTTTATGGTAATGGCTTGTGAGGAGGAGGGTGCCGTGTCCTTCCTGAAGGAGCAGGAGTAATCCTTGATGTGGTAACAGAGTAACAGAAACCACATCTATTATCAGGGATCTATAAATGAGTTGCATTATTCTACACTTTGGGGCTTTCAGGAGCTCCTGTTTTCAGAAACTTACATCAAGCATTGTGCAAGGCTGAAAAGTGGTATTTTTCTATCCCTGCCGTAAGAGGCAGGGGGAATTCATGA